GCTAGGCAGCATTTCCCGAAGTGTGTGTTCCATGGAGAGCTAACCTGGAAAGAGATGTCGAGTGCCTTTAGAGGAAACTACGTAACACTCTCTCCCTTAAGAATCATAACACGCATGAGCACATTAGAGGCTCCGTGGTCTGCAGTAAGGACTGACTTTGCTTATCAGAGTTAGCCTGCTGTTTCCCCAAATTATTTGACTTAAAAAAAAGAACCTTTGGGGATGGTGAATCCCTTCATATTTCCATGTGAAGGAAACTCCATCAGAGTAAGGCTGCTGGCCCCACTCTGGCACCGCCCCCCGCCCACCAGTGGAGGAGGGGAGAGCGTCCAGCTCAAGCCCTCCTCCTTCCGCCTCTCTTCAACTTGGGTTTTCCTGAGTGGACCTTTGTCATTCCTGTTTGTTGATTCTAACAGATTGTAGCTCTAACATCTCTTCTGAAATTTTGCTGTTTTGATAGAAGAATAAGCAGTTAGGAATGCATTAATAAAAAAATTTAGGACTCAAGTAGAGGGTAAGAGAATGATTGATTTTTCAAACTAAGAGCAATTCATTCAAGCTTTACATATGACCTCTGAACTCTAAAACAAAGGCAAAGCCATTCATAGTGGCTTTGTGTTTAAAGGTAACATGAAGTCCTTGGAAGGATCCTTGCCATAGTTCAGACATGTGGAACAGTGTCAAAGAGAAGACTCCTAACCTTCATTTACATTGGAAAAATGTGTCGGTTTTGTTCATTAGAATGCATGAATGGAGTAGTAAATGTTGGGGTAGAAAACGGTCCTTGGCCAAAGACAATTTGGCTTTAAGAAAGGGATCCACCCTCACCCCACCCTCAGGGACCTTTGAAGCAACTGAGGAACATGGAAGAAGAAAGGTCTGCCTGGCTAAGCAATTTTGTGGAAAGGACTGTACACTCATTGGTCTAGAGTCTTAATTATGTTCGCTCTGATGGGGTGACTATAAAAAGGCATGGGCTCTAAACTGGGCAGGATCAGTAGTCTTAGCCAGCTCCTGAATTGTCTTCAGTCCAGAGACATTTTGATCTGAGCCAGGAAGTAAGACAGTGAGGGTAAAAACATCTGAAATACATGAGCATCTTCTATCTGTTGATCCAAAGGTGTTGGAAGGTGTAACAAACCCAAATATGGTTTGAAGAAAGTAGCTTTAACAGAAATGAGAACAGAATTTGCTAGGGGTTGGATGAGCCCCTAGCCCAATTTATATCGCATTCCAGAGAAAGAAAAGTTTGACAACCATTGGTTTATTTGACCAATGCATTCAAATCCTCAAATGAATTTTTATATGTATATGCATAAAGCCTGACAAGGCTCTTAGTAATCCAAAACCTTCCAATGAATCCAAGAATTATCAAAACTCCTCTTTATTTTGTATAGAAACATGCCCACAGATGTGCTTTCCAAGGTTAATAGTTGTAAAATTTTAGTTACTCTTCTGCCCATTGCTTACATATACCAAATGTATCCAAGTCATTCATTCAACACACTTGGAATTCCTGGCCTGGAGTGATAAGAGGTAGTCTCTGCCTTCGAGAAGCACTGTGCAATTGGAGTGATAGGCAATTAGTAAACTTAAATGCGTTGTGAAGTGACGGGGTCAAGGAGAGAAGCCTGTACCAAGAACAATGAGGTCTGAGGAATGGGTGTCATAGTGCCTGGGACAAAGGATAGAGTCTTTAAGAATAAAGGGGCAGTCTGGCAGGACAGTGAGGGAACTTCATTACAAAAGAATTCTTTACGCAAAGGCCCTGAGGTCTTGAACTGAGAGTCCGGCAATGAACTCTCACATTTATGGTCCACTGATATTTGAAAAGGGTATAAGGCAATTCAACGAAGGAAAGAATAATCTTTCCAACAAATGATCTGGGACTACTGGATATCTACATGAAAATGAGTGAAGTTGGCCCCCTACCTATACACAAAATTAATTCAGGACAGATTAGGCCAACACATAAAAATTAAAGCTATAAAGTTCATAGAAAAAAACTAGGTAAATTTGACTTCATCAAAATCTTAAAACTTTGTGCTTCAAAGGACATGATCAAGATAGTGAAGAGACAATTCACAGTGTGGGAGAAGATGTTTGCAAGTCATACATTTGACAATGGACTTGTATCCAAAAATATAAAGGACTCTTACAACCTAATAATAAAAGACAAGTAACCCAATTTAAAAATGGGCAAAGAATTTGAATAGGTATTTCAACAAAGATCATTAGACATTAGAGAAAGACACATCAAAACCACAGTGCAACATGACCCTGCACCCACCAGGGTGACTGACGTGAAGACGACCAGCGACAGTGAACAAATGGAGAAACTGGAAGCCTCACACACTGACGCTGGGGACGTGACATGGTGCAACTGCTTTGAAAGACAGTCTAGCAGCTTCCTCAAAAGGTTGGATATTCAGCTACCACATGATCCGGCAGTTGTGCTCACAGATATGTCCTCGAGGGAAATAAAAACATAGGTCCACACAGAAACCTGTACACAAATTTTCATAGCAACATTATTCATCATAGCCAAAAAGTGGAACAATTTAAATGTCTAACAATGGATAAATGCATAAATAAATTGTATATCCATACAATAGGATATTATTTGGGCATAAAAAGAATGAAATGCTGATATATGTCGTAACATGAATGACCCTTGAAAGCATTATGCAAGTACAAGAAGCCAGTAACAAAGAAAAAAGCAAGCGAAGTCAGTGACCAAAAAAAAATCACACATTATATGATTCCTTTTACATGAAATACCAAAATTAAGTAAATGCGACAAAAGAGACAGAAAGTGATTCCCGGCTGCTGGGGCAAGGGAGGGAGGAAGCAGAGAGTGACTACTAAAAGGTATAGGGTTTCCTACTAACAGGTATAGGGTGCCAAAAATGTTCTAAAACTAGATTGTGGTGGCGGCAACACAACTCTGAATATATTAAAAATCTAACCAACTGCATGCTTTAAGTGGGTGAATGTTATGGTATGTGAAAAATATCTCAGTAAAGCTGTTAAAAATCTAATTAATCATAAAGATAATGACAAAACATAAAGATGCTGTCCATATCTTAATGGCATTTCATGTTCCCCCATCTTTCCACAGCTGATCCTTGAACAAACAGGGGGTCAGAGATGCTGACCCCCACACAGGCATCAAAAACTTGACTATGAATAGTCTACTGTTGCCCCAAAGCCTTAACTGATAACATAACAATAAACATATTTTATATGTTATATACATTACATACTGTATTCTTGCAATGAAGTAAGCTAGGGAAGAGAAAATGTTATTAAGGAAATCACAAAGAAGAGAAAACACATTTACAATGCTGTACATACTTATTGAACAAAAATCCCCATATCAGTGGACCCGTGCTGTTCAAAACCCATGGTGGTCAAGGGTCAATGGTGCCCAAGGCCCAGTAGGCACTTTTTCAACTTGTACAAACCTTGTCAAGTCTGTTGACCTTTGAAAGTCAACTGAAGCAAGTAGGCATTTGGGAATTAGAGGAAAGAGGTACTTCAAAATTCAGGGGTCAGACTTTTACCCAACAGGAAAGAGCAGTGCTTTCCAGCATCTTATGACCTCACACATGTTTATTAACTATTTGCAGTGCTAATAAAACTCCTTTTCTTGGTTGGGGAGAACCTGAAGGGTAAGCAGAAGAAAGACGCTCAGCCAGGGGTCCTTCTGAATTTCTGCTAACGTGGAGGTGTGGCGGTGGTCACCAGGTCAGGATCTGGACGCAGACAAACCCCACTTGGAGCACTGTCCTGTCTCTGCCACTGAGGAGCTGTGTTTCTCGCAAGCTGCTCAGCCCCTCTGTGCTCCCTTTTCCTCTTTGTGAAATGGGAATTCCATTCCTACCTTCATTTTTATTTGAGGGCTTATCCCATAGTAGGGTGCTCACTAACAGTGCCTATATTTTAAAAGGGCTTAGTAGGCACTTATGAACAATATATCTTGGTAATTTTTTCCTGATAAAAAAAATCGTGTTGGCATATTCTGCACGTCTTTCATTGGTTCGGTTTTGATGTGTTTATTATTCAGTTACCTGTCAAAGTACTTCCCTGAAACTCTGCTGTCAATCAGAAAATGATTGAAACGTTTACTTTCTAAGCATTTTCTTACTTAATTGTGGCTGCACTGTTGTTTAGCTAAAATATACAGACTACAGAGTCAGGAGGAGCGTGCTTAGCCGGAGGGACCCCGTTCTTCTGATGTGTGGTGGGCGGTTAGGAAGAGGGAGGGCGGAGGCACTGCACATTTCCTGGCTCAGAATTGCCTTCTAAGGCCCCCTTCTCCCCAGAGATTCTTCTAGGGTTAAGCAAATGCCCTACATGGCTTATCAGTCCAGGATCCATGCAATTCCTTTTCATACTGTTCCAAGACCTGGGCAGAGAAGAGAGGTCCCTGCTCTAGAGGATCCCACATTATCTCTCTCTCTCTCTCTCTCTCTCTCTCACACACACACACACACACACACGCATGCACGCACACACAGACACACACATGCCCATTAAAGAACTTGTGTATGCTTCTCTCACCTGGGACCTGGCGCTTAGAACTGGCACAGCACTACCCCGATTCTAAACTAAATATCCACTCTTGGAATCAACATGCTCAGGCCCCAGGGAAAACTTTTCCACAGTTTGCCTCTTGGCCTTAAAACCAAGGCGAATATCACAAAGGTTTGAGTTGCTAACATCTGAGATGGATGTTGTTTCAGACGACAGAGGGGACTAAAGTGATAGGAGCCTTTCACAACAGAAAAGGCAAATTAACTCACATGTCAATTCCTCAAACAGCATAAATTAAAGAGATTTTTGTCTAGCACAGTATCATTCCTGCCAATACTGAGCATCTTTTTCTTCTCTTTATTTGTGTCCACTTGTAGTTTCTAAAGTAATGATGAGTTAGCATAATCACAAAACACAGTGCACATGGGCAGTTGAGAAAACACTCTAATACCGAACAATTTGTACTCACCTGGTAGGGGAGATACCATGATCACAAAGGTTGTTTTCCCAGGGGACACTCACCCATTGCATTCTGGGTGTGCTGTCTGCTGGGTTTTCCCTGAATGCGGGAAGCTCAATTGCAAGATTTGTGCTGGTGAGGGACAGCAATCACGCTTTCCCCTAAAAAATATTCATGTTACTCTTAAATATAAGTATTTGAAAGTCTAGGGATAACATGAGGGAAGTATGATACTGATTATTTATATTGGCAACTAAGTTAAAAGAATGAGTCTAGAATTGTCAATGGTTTTTTTTTAAATATGTATTTATTTTTAGAGAGGGGATGAGAAGGAGAAAGAGTGGGAGAGAAACATCAATGTGTGGTTGCCTCTCATGTGTCCCCAAATGGGGACCTGGCCTGTAACTCAGGTATGTGTCCTGAGTGGGAATCAAACCTGTGACCCTTTGCTTCACAGGCCCGTGCTCAATCCACTGAGCTACACCAGCCAGGGCTGGAATGGTCAATGGTTTTTTTTGTTTGTTCATTTATTTATTTTTATTCTCACCTGAGGACATGCTTATTGCTGTCAGAGAGAGGGGAAGGGAGGGAGAGAGAGGAACAGAAACATCGATGTGAGGGAAACATTGATCAGTTGCTTCTTGCAGACGCCCTGACCGGTGGTGGAACCCACAATCCAGGCATGTGCCCTGGCTGGGAGTCGAACTTGTGACCCTTCAAAAGCTCTACGGGGAGGTGCTCCAACCAACTGAGCCACACCGGCCAGGGCATAAATAATTTTATGTTTGTAAAAATATTTATTAAGAATTAATTCCATTTTTAAAATGTCAAATAAAAACTGCAGACTTAAATAATTTTATTTATTCTTTTTATTCATTATTATGATATTTTATGCTTTAAAAATAAACTTTCATCCAAAGTATTCAATTCTTAATTTTTACTTTTACTTTCACTTACATTTTGATGGAAATATATTCAAATGTGATACTCTTTGAAGATAATTACATGTTAATTCTAATCCTTTAGATCTTTGTCGATGGCACATAAATTATGTATACATTTTGATTATAATTATATAACTAGTGTTTTTTTCCTGACATGAAAGCAAAAAAGATAAATTATAGAGAATATATAAATCATAAAATATGCCTTTATTTTACCACTCATTGAAATATTTCTGGGCCATCAATAGCACATACATGTACAATAAAAATTAAATTCAGTTATTTTTTATATTTTGGCAACTTTCAGTCATCTAAAACTATAGTTTCCCAATTTTTGAAATAACTTTGCCACGATGAAGCCATATTTGCCAATGTAGAAGAAAAATTCAATTCATACCTTGACTTATAAGTTTTAGACATTTAGACTGTTTAAGCCCACATATTTTAAGAATGGGCCAGATTGCTTCGATAATATAATCAGATTGTTCCTTTTCTAAGAATTAGCTATTAATAGTTAACTATGGACACTAAGCATGCCGGACTTTAAATGAAGTGATGTCTAAATATTATCTCATTAAACCCTCTCAAAAACCCTGTCATGGGTAATTTTATTCCCCTCACTTTGCAGCGAGGAAACTGAGCTTTGGTGTGTTTCAGTGACTTGCTCAAGGTCATATAACCAGGAAATCCTGGAGCAGGGATCTGAGCCCAGAAGATCTGAGTAACTTTGGGAAAGGGCACTTTGGGGGAGTTGAACTTGGACATTCTCACGGAGAATTTGGGCACACAGAAGGCAATGTGGAAGGGTCAGGATGGTGGGGAAAAGAGCTGCAAAAAAAAGACCCCAATTCCACAGTCAAGCCCAAGATCTGATATCACCTCCAGGGAACATCCCCAAGCACCAAAGGCTACCAAACGTCTGAATGGACAAGGACTTCCAAATCCTCATGTTCTACTGGTTACAACAATGGGCAGATAAGAAAAACACCCTTTTTTTTTTTTTTTTTGCTCTTGAATGCTTAATTAGATTCAGAGGACTGATTCTTTCTTTCCTCCTTCCGTCTCTCTCTCTCACCTCTCCCTTCCTCCCTCCCTTTCCCCTTCTTTTCTTTTGAAAGTAACTGTATGCTGTTACCACAATGCATTAAGCACTGTCCTAGGCACTGAACCAAACAGGCAGGGCCTTGTACGTCTGGAAATCATTATCCAGTGGGGAGACAGACAGAAAATCAACATGAAACCCTGAAAAATTACAACTACAAGACAAACAACATGAAGGAGAGAGAGTGTGCCTCCGGAGAGGACACCAGGGGAGTCTGGCCTGGGCTCAGGGTATCAGGGAAGCTCCCCAGGAAAGCGACATCTGAGCAGCGATTGGGGTGGTGGCAGGGGTTAAGCATTCAAGGGTTCGGGAGGATGTGCCAGGCTGAGAGCCCTGCAAGCGAAGGGAGCCTGTGGGGTGGAGCATGAAGAGGCCGACTGGAGGCCAGTGGGGCCGGATATATGCATGGAGGGCACGGTTCCGGACCTTCCAGACCAGGAAGTGGGCAAATTATGGCCCACTGCCTGTTCCCCTGAATCAAGTTTTATTGGAGCTTAGCCACACTCGTTTGTGTACTTACTGCCTGCGGCTGCTTTTGGCTGCCACGGCAGAGTTGAGTCGTTAAGATAAAGACCTTATAACCCACAGAGCCTAAAATATTTACTCTCTGCCCTTGACAGAACAAAATGTGCAGACCCTTGATCCAGACCATGGAGGTTGGGCCTTGTAGGCCTGTTAAGGGCTGTGACCTTTAACCAAAGGGGATAAGAAATAATAGGATTTAATCTTCATGAGGATCACTCAGGAGCCAAATATATTCTTACTTTTTGGGATGTTCCAGGCCAGGCTCTCCAAAGACCCCTTTGAGGAAGCTGGCATTAATCTCTGCAGTAATGGGGTCTAAGTCCTCTCTTGCCTGTGGCAGGGGTTCCTATCAGTTTCTTCCTACCTAAGCCCCTTGTATTAGCCAGACTTTGGGAACAAGTGGCAGAAACACAGTCTAAGCCTTCTATACAGCGGGAAGGGAATGCATCGGTTCACAAAGCTGGGAAGGTCAGTGGCGAGGCTTGGAGAATGCAAGAACAACAGAACACAGAGCCTGCAGTGCTTGAATCAGGGACTCACCATCTCAAGGACCACCTCTTCATTCACGTTGCATCTTTGTGTGACTCTACTTAGCTTCTTGTACAAACAAGCATTTTTTCCCCACTGGGCACCTCCAGAATCACATTCTCCCAAGGTTAGTCGCCCCAGCAGAAGGAGTGAGTATACTTCCTATGCTCTGGATATTGTTCTTGGGTTTGGATTCTGATGGGCCCTGTTTGAGTCTCTTATCCACCCTCTCTAGAACAGTACTGAAAGGGATCGGGTCCTATAAATTGGCCCAACATGGGTCACGTGCCTATCCTTGAGGCCGGCAGGGGGGTGGGGGGGTGGGGGAGGTGCTGGAAATAAGAAACCTGAGAGCACAGCCTAGAAGAAGTTTCCAAAGGAAAGGAAAGCTACTCAGACAAAAAAAAAAAAAAAGTTCAAACAACACAATGGGCCTGCTTATAGCTGCCAAGCTGGTACCCACAAGCTTTGTAGGGAAGGCCACCTCTGCTCTTGTGACCAGAGCTGACTGAACCAGACATCAGTCCTGGAACAGCCTACAACACCTTCTGGCTGGACACAGGGAGGCGGATCAGCTTTGAAGTGACTCAGCACCATTGTTCAGTGGGTGCCCTCCTCTGAGTGGCTGCAAGCTTACAAATCAAACCTTCTCATTAGGAAATAGAAACGCCAGGTCAGCAAAAGGGAGGGCTGTTTGCACTGGGATCGGTATTGCCAGCAACGATCAGGACTGTGTCCAGGTTTCTGTGCGACTCACTCTACGTCCCAGGGTATAAATAGAAATCCACACAGTAAAGCCTCCTGAGCTGAAGGAAGGCCTGGTCCGTCTTTACTCCTAAGAAATTTGCCTGTCTTGGCCAGTAAAATCCCATGCTCTGGAGATTTCTTTCTTCCTTTTTTGGAAGAACTTTTTCCATCATCGAATTTCATGTAGAAAGAAATGAACTATTCTCCTGGCAAAGAATATGACAGTCAACATAAAGATTTCCTCACTGGAAGGGAATTTGAACACTTCATTAGGTGGCCAAGATAGATTGAATCACATGACTTTCCAGGGGAGGAAGCTGAAGGGAAAGCTAAGTACAATAGAAATAATAACCGACTGGTCACAGGGCAAGAATCCTGGGTTCAGGTCCTTGCTGGGGATTGTGGGCAAGTCACTTCTCCTCTCCTTCTTCTGGAAAACGAAGTTTCAAAATCATGTGTTCATTCTACAGAGCCGTGTGGCTGGAGCAAGAGGCCACTGTGGCCGAAGAGTGAATGATGTGGAGGAATTGGCCAAAGAACACATATGAATAGCCCACAGACACAGAAAATAGAGTGGTGAAGGCCAGAGAAAGGGAGGGGCTGGACGGAGGTGGGCAAAGTCAGGGGAAATGGGGTACATCTGTAATAATGCCAACAATAAATAAGTACACACAGACATACATACATAAAATATTTTTGAAACAGTGAGAACGAGGTAGGTGGCAGGTGAGGGCCCAGGGATTATAGGGCACATGTCACTTGGCTTTTCTCTTGCTTGAGAGTGGGAATTGTACTCATTTCTTGTAGCTGATACAACAAACTACCACACACTTAGAGGCTTAAACAACAAGGATTTGATTGTGTGAAGGTTCTGGAAGTCAAAAGCCCAACCCGCAGCAGATTTCGCTGGACTGAAATCAGGGTGTTGTCAGGGCTGCCTTCCTTTCTGGGGTGCTCCGGGGAGCCACTTCTTTGCCTCTCTTGCATTCCGAGCTCCTAGTCCCCTTCCATCTTCAAAGCTAGCAATGCTGGGTTGAGTCTTTCTCATATTCTGATCTTCCCCTCTCTTCCCCTTTTAAGGACTCTAGTGATTACTTTGGGCACAAGTGGTTAATCCAGGATAATCACCCTATTTTAAGATCGCTGATTAGCAACCTTTAATTAGCAATGATCTGCAATATTAATTCCCCTTTGTCAGGTAATATACTCACAAGCATCTTTGGGGGAGGGAGGGCATTATTTTGCCCATCACAGGAACCACTGGTGTTTTTGAGCAGACGAATACCATGATGGAAGTTGTGCTGACCATGGTCACTTTGGCTGCTGTGTTTGAACAGACATCAAGGTGTTAGGAACAGAAGCAGAGAGGCCAGTTAAGTGACTGGCCAGCAATCCAGGCTCAAGATGGTGCTCGAACCAGGAGAGTGTGTGTGGAAGTGGTGAAATTCCAAGTGTATGTTGAAGGTAGAGCCAACGGGCTTTGTTGACAGGGTGCATGTAAGGGGGAGGCTGAAGTGTAAGCAAAGACCGGACTACAAAGAGAGTGGTTTCCCGTGCTGATGAGTGTGGACTGTACCCTAAAATGGGAGACTTTGGGGTCACACAGAGCTGACTCAAATCTCTGCTCCTCCACTTACTAACTTAGTGGCTTTTATTGGGTTTTTTATCTGCATTATGTGTGTTTTCTTACCTATAAAATGGAGATGGTGCTACCTACCCGCAAAGGCAGTTTCGAGAATGAAAATGCTTCTGAAGTACTGAGCACGCTTCCCAGTTACTGTGCTCTTGATCTATGATAGCCATCATTATTATTAATAGGGTTGTGGGGAGCCGCTGATGAATTTTTAGCCAAGAAGTGACAAGATCAGATTTGTACTGGAGAAATATCACTCTAGCAACAGTGCAACTCAGGTGGTAGAAGGAAAAGGGTTAAAGCCGTGCTCTCACTTAAAAACCTTTGGCAACTTTTCAAAAACTATACAATAGAAGCCAAACTTGCCCTGACATTCAAGCCCTATATAATTTGGCTCAATCCTACTTTACTTTTTAAAAATCTCTATTTTCCTCCTGTGTCGACCACTTTCAAACTACCCCCCAGTCATCCTGGTCTCAATTTCCCTAAACTCTGTTGGGTTTCCAACTTCTGAACTTTGGCCTCCTCCTGATTAGAATGTCCTTCTAATCATCAAAGGTCAATGTAAATTCCACTTGCCCCAAGAAAGTCCCCACCTTCCCCAGCCAGAATTAGCACTTCATCTCCCATTGACCTAGAATTGCCCATCTATGCTCATTCCCAATCCTCTCCCCCTCTTTGGAGAAATCGCTCCACCTACCAGCAGCCCAGAAGAGGCAAGACCCTCAGGCATAAGCAATAGGACTAGGAGAGCCCATCTGGGGTTCCTCCTCCAGCACTTGAAATTGAAATAGCATCGTTTCACATTAGGTACCAGAAACATAGGCCCCTAAAGATTTGGGTGTAGAGCTGGTGTCTTTCAAAGCTGCCTGTATGTTGAGGTTATGAGGAGGGAGAAATCAAGAGTCTTATGGAGGAATATGGTACAGACATGCAGAGAGATGTAGAGACAAGATACTGGGTGGGGGTGGGGCCAGAAGGAATGAGAGACAGTGGGAGAGAGGGAGAAATGAGGGGGTGGGGGCAGGAGAGAGAGAGAGACCTCTCACTCCAGGGTTTCTGAAAATTTTGCAGCTGAGTTTTTGGAGATTCTCCAGTCTCTTTAACATAAATCCAATTTCAGAAGGCTCTGTTCCCACAATACACTGGGTACTATCTCTTACCATCGGTTATGTAGAGGTGTGTCTGCACCCACCTGGACATGGCACCCCCAAGGACAGGGACTCTGTCCTATTCATTCAGCACCCCCAGAACCTGGCACATGCTGGATGCTCAAAGATGGTTGCAATTGAATCCTGACAGTTCACAAAATGGCTTAATGTATGTTTTTAAGCAATCATTCTAAACTTCTCTGCTTTTCACCGTATGTTGCTATACTTGCATGATTTTATGTCACTGTATCATTTTTATTAGGTTGGTTTTCACCCTACTTCCAAACTCTCCATATTCACAGGCTTTGGCTTTCTCGTCCTATTTGCTGCTCACCGGGAAGGATTCAGAGTTTAGTAGCAGAAGGGATCCATGTCTCTCTCTAGTTGGTGAGAATGCTTGTCTTACATTTTCCAGTATTCAACCACCACCACCTTTACCCTTGAAATGAATACTTCCCATGAAGTCTGTTGGGGCAGCTTAATTTCAATGATGTCATTTAAAACTCATTAAAAGGTCACCAGGCAAGCTAAGTAGCTTCCTCCTTCAAATACCTATTCAGAATCATAGATTTTCAGATCTGGAGCCAAAGGTTCTCAGACTCTTGAGTTTCTATGAACCAGCATTAATATTAAAGGGAGAGAAAAGGTTGCTGACTTTATATTCTTCCGAGGAATGCCATGAAAAACAATAAGCTCCTATTAACACAGCATTACCTCCTGCAATGCACAGGACAGCCCCAACAATAACGAATTTTCCAGCTGCAAATGGCAATAGTACTGAGGTTAAGGAACCCTGGGTTAGCTGACAACCTGGTGAAAGGGAAAAGAAGCAAACCACCCCCCCCCCAGCCCAGCCCCAGCTGGAAGGCATTTGCAGGCTCAAAACCATGGAATGGCCAGCCCAGCTGGGCTGTGATAGGATGGGTCAGCTGGGAGCTGGATCAGCTAGCCCCAGGCCTGGGTGGGGTGGCGGGGCAGGGCCAACACTTGCTGACATTCTGCTTCTTAAATGGCATAAGGCACATAAAATGCGTAACGCTGTGCCTGGCACACAGTCAATTCTCCGGATACATTTCCATTATTATTGTAAATGTTCAACTAATGTTACTATTTTTAACACAAGGGGAAAATATTTTTCTTTTATCTTACCAAAAGGTGTGCTGAGCTCCTTCATGGCTTTGAAGTGCGCCCCTCAGGAGACAAGTTTTACTGGGGAATCGAATGACTCTAATGGATTTCAAAGATTTGGGATTCCCAGAGGTCATTGGAGAAGAAACAGCGGGGAGGAGGAAAGGAGAGGGAGGAGCCTGTGGGATGGAGTGTGACCTGAGGATTCACTCTCATGAGGAACAGCAATTTGCCCTGTGGGTGAGGAGGTGCTTGAAGAGTATTTTAAGATGCAGGGAGGGTTAGTATACAGTTTGAGGACTTTGTGTTTCAGCAACATGAGGAACTAATCTTTTGCCTCACCCCATCTCCAGCTTCTGTGACATTTTCTACAATGGTGCATACATTTTATAAACAAGGTTTTTGGTGGAAACCGAGGAAGAGTCTACAATTTCCATTTGGGTTGAAACAGTGTAGAACTGAGGCAGCAGTCCAGAAGCAGAGGCCAGGAGCCAGAGGTGACCACAAGAACAGAGGTTGTCTTGAGCTCCCAGAAATCCCAGTATAGGGCCTTAGACTTTCTTAGGATGCGGAATGTGGGGGTTGAGCCTAGTCCCTCAGCAGTCACCTGTCTTGCATTTTTGTAGTAAAAGAGCCATCTGGTCTTACACCTGGGCATGAGTAAAACAAGATGGGCCTGGTTCCAAGGTTCTGTGCCTGCTCCAGCTGGGTAAGAAGATGGCCAAACTCTGTTCTTTGTTCTAGAATCACCCAGAGTCAAGAGAACACTGCCTTGAAGATCTTGGAGGGCTAGAGAGGAGCCCCGCCCTAGCACCTCGGGGCCAACCAGAACTAGTCTGAGTGTTGGGTGTGTAATCTCTAATCCTGGTAGGAACAGAGGTAGAAGTCCTGCGGTGTCCTTGCGATTGAAGCCACATAAGCATTGTAACAACCAAGTAGCCAGAGGGCATGAGAAATAACAGGTTGTTGGCAACCTGGCTTTAATTACCTCTATGACTTTGGTTAAGGTGCTACTCTGTGCAAAATTTCCTTAAGACTTTTTTGATCCCAACTTCCTCTTCCTGTGCATCAGGGAATCAATAAGCCCCCTCCCAACGGTAGCAATCTCGGTGTCATGGTACAGAGAAGTGACCAAGGGCTTGGGGTTTATTTAGTGTTGGACAAACCAGGCTGCACTGCATCACTCCAGGCAACTTTGCCTCTGAGCGGCAGTGTTGGTATCTGTAAAATGGGTGGGGGCTAACAAAAACTGCTTCATGGGTGGACTAAAGGTGATAATACACAGGGGGCGTATCCCACTGCTGGGGCTTGACAGAGAACCACTATCCATCTTCCAATCACCTGGCAAATTCATCTCACTCACCTTTCCTGTCCCAGCTCTTTTCCTTCTTTCCTTCTTGTTTAAATCTTAACTATTTTTCTCTGTCCCTCCCTCCCAGGGCCCACCCTCGGTGGACGCAGAGCGTCTGTCTGCTGGTGGGATGGTTGGTCAGCGACAGCGGTCTGTGAGGCAGTAAGTCTTCTCTTGCCCTGGGTTTAGGAAGTCTCCGAATGGCCACTTCTGAGTCTCCGTGGCACTGCCCTGCAGGGAAATCCCCCGCCAGCACACATCTCAGGGGCGCGAGTGGAAGAATCACACTGCAGCAGAGGTAACCGCCGGGAACCGCGACCAAAGACGGGGGATGGGCGCAGTAGAATATAACGGGATGACCAGGATTGACAACGCGCCACACCACCTCCTCCGGGCCTTCTTATCCTCCAACCGGTGGCCCCAGTTATCCTGTCTGATTTCGACAGCGGCTTCAGAAGTGACAGCCACGTGGATCGCGGGGGAAAGGAAGGTTGGTGTGGGGGGCGGGGCTACAAGGGCGCTGGAGCCGGAAAGGGCCCACGTACGCGCGCCCCGGCGCCTGCTGCCAGGCGACACCGCTGGGAGCGAGTACGCTACCGACGTCACGCGTCGTTCATCCAATGAGCAAAGGCCGAGGAGACGCGCCGTTCCGCCCCTCCCGCCCCCGCGGCAGTCCCGGCCAAAGCAGCCGCCTCCCGGAGCGTCTGGGGGGCCGCGGGCCGTCGCAGGCTCGGGCGTCGCAAGACGCGGACCCGAACCGTGGGACGCGGCCCAGGGAGCTTCTCGCCCCGTCCCCGCCGCCTGATGTCCTCAAGATGGAGGCAGCGGGGGCGGCGGCGTGAAGAAAGCCGCGCTGTGCGCGCGGGAGCAGCTGCCGGGGCTGTCCGGGCGGAGACCGTGGCGGGATGGGGCTGCTGCTGATGATCCTGGCGTCGGCAGTGCTGGGCTCCTTCCTCACGCTCCTCACCCAGTTCCTGCTGCTTTACCGCAGACAGCCCGAGCCGCCGCCGGACGAGGCCGCCCGCGCGCGCGACGGCTTCCGCTACCTCAGGCCAGTGCCGGGCCTGGCCCTGCGGGAGTACCTATATGGCGGTGGCGGGGCCGAGGAGCCCTCCGGCGGGCCCCCCGAGGGCGGCGCCACCCCGACCCCCGAGACCCCGGCCCCGCCGACGCGGGAAACCTGCTACTTCCTCAACGCCATCATCCTGTTCCTGTTCCGGGAGCTGCGGGACACCGCACTGGCCCGCCGCTGGGTCACCAAGAAGATCAAGGTGGAGTTCGAGGAGCTGCTGCAGACCAAGACGGCCGGGCGCCTGCTGGAGGGGCTGAGCCTGCGGGACGTGTTCCTGGGCGAGACCGTGCCCTTCTTTAAGACCATCCGGCTCCTCCGGCCCGTGGTGCCCTCCGCCACCGGGGAGCCCGACGGCCCCGAGGGAGAGGCGCTGCCCGCCACCTCCCCGGAGGAGCTGGCCTTCGAGGCGGAGGTGGAATACAACGGGGGTTTCCACCTAGCCATCGACGTGGACTTGGTCTTCGGCAAGTCCGCGTACCTGTTCGTCAAGCTGTCCCGCGTGGTGGGGAGGCTGCGCTTCGTCCTCACCCGCGTGCCATTCACCCACTGGTTCTTCTCCTTCGTGGAGGACCCGCTAATCGACTTCGAGGTGCGCTCCCAGTTTGAAGGGCGGCCCATGCCCCAGCTCACCTCCATCATTGTTAATCAGCTCAAGAAAGTCATCAAGCGCAAGCACACCCTCCCCAGCTACAAGATCAGGTGAGAGGCCCGAGAGGGGGGAAGGTATCCCACAGGTGCGGGGGCCTAGCTGCCGGGCATTCGGGTTTGGGTTGGAGGCTGCTGCCTGCGTGGGGTTGGGAGTCCCTCCTTTTCCAGGGATCTTCCCAGCCGTGGACAGGGTCTTAGATTAAGGCCAGTGGCGCACACCTTTTCTTCCAAAGGGCATTGAATGGAGCCAGGAACCTTTTCGCGTGTTTTGAGCACCTGAGACGCTGTCAGTGTGGGTAGAAGCAGCGTACTGATAGGGGGAGGGAAGCCCACCCGAGGGAATCCCACCCTAATCCCCAGGAGTCGTCTTTGGGGCCGTTGAGAAACTCTGTGGTTGCCGCATTGAGGGCACTTTGCAGCATCACCTTAGCCACGTTGAGAAATTGTTCCTGAACGCTTCGCGCGCAGGAAGAATGCGCTGGTAGCCCCGGCTGTTGGATTTTGCAACTGCAGGCCACTTTTTGCTCTGACAGCTGTTGTAAAGGAATACTTCTCCTCGGCCAGTTGTAAACGACTCGGGAAACTTACTGTCCTTCTCTGTCCATTTTGTATTAATGACACCTGCCCTTCTGGGATGGGTTCGTGGCTCAGACTCGCACCCTGCCCCTCCTGTGTCACCTCCCAGTACCTGTGAGCTCCTTGCACAGTACCTGAGGTCACCCTGCAGGGGGTATCTTAATGATAGGTAGTGATTTCAACTTTGGAAAGTCCTCCTGTATCTGGTGGCTTAATTTTATGTAGTATAATACATAAAATTAATGTACATTTAATACATAAAATTATTAAAGCCACCACTTTATGTATTATATAATAAAATTATAATACATTTGATTAATGTACAAGGTTTGTTTTGGGGTTTTTTGGGTGTGTGTGTGTGTGTTTCATGGGAGAAATGGAAGGGAAAAGGAAGTTTTGTGGGACCAGACTTTGGTCTGGGAAGGATCGTTCGAGTAGAAAGGGTTGTACGTAGCTATTCTAAAATGCCTGAATATTTGATTTCACTTTCTGCCCTTTAATTTTGTGTTCATTAACACATTTGACTCTTTTGGATTTTGTCCTTTATTATAAAGTTATGTCAATCTGGTATTTGCCTTGCCTAGGGCTTATTAGTGGAAGTTGCCTCTTTCCGTGGAGATCACTAATTTTATGTCAGTCTCAAGCATCAGTGACCTAGATAATCCAGAAATAGTTCAGGTTTGGGTTTGGGGTGGATTATTGACTTGCGTATGTAGCAAATTGACCTTACTAATTATGCTTTGTTTAGGCTAACAGCCCAGAATAACAGCTTAAAACTAAAACTGCGAGGTGGCAGGAAAGGTTTACTTTATAATGGAAATATTTCCATAGGTTTGCAGAGGACAGTGGTTCACAGATTGGTTTCGTGCTTTGTGCAGTAGAACATGGTTTATGGAACCTGCTCTCTGGGCTCTGGAACACACAGAAGTGACTAAATTATGAGTGATTTGTAGTGTTCCTGCAGTAAGAGGTTTATAGCTGTGTGTTGCTAAGAAAGTCATGAGAAAAGTTACAGATTTGGATATCCTGTCACAACTTAGATTCTGATATTTCCTGGGTAACTTTCAGATAATAAAATTTGATTTATTATTTGGAGAATATTCGTGGAATAGTCACAGTGGCAGTGAAATTACATACCGTTATGAAGGTCTTTAATAATCCAGACTCAGAATTCATTTAAATTTGAAGGAAACTATGAATAGGAGTTAGGAAGCCATCACTAGGTCTGTTACTTTGAAGGAACTTTATCATCTGTCATTGAACGTGATCACCATTTAAAATACAACTAAATTGCTTTCATTTACATTATCTGGAGGGATTTTAAAAAACAGCATGCATTTGGTTATGTATATTTCAACTTTTAAACCTTAAACATCAGATGATCACATCCTGAGATGTAGACACATGTGTTCTTTATATTGGAAGGCATTTCCATGGTCAATTAGTAAATATTGCACAAAATGTATCACTCAGTCTGTAAATATTGTACACCTACTATGTGCTTATCGTTGCTCTAAGTGTTGGGGCTTCAATACTGAACAGCCTCAACCTTTGTGAGAGCTCAGAGCTTAGTAAGATTTGAAGTAGCTTTACTTAGTAAGATTTAAACTAGAATGTGATTGATGGGGTTAAAGTAACTAGGAAGCTAATTTTAGTTTATTAAAGAAAATGATAAAAGTGTGCGGATGAAAAGGACTGTTTCAGGAAGTGTTGAGTTCTCTTGACTGTATAGCTATTCTACCAAAAGTGGGGTTTTTTAAAGATTTTATTTATTTATTTTTAGACAGAGGGGAAGGGAGGAAGATGGGGAAAGAAACAAAGAAACATCAGTGTATGGTTGCCTCTTGCACACCCCCCATCGCGGGCCTGTCCTGCAGCCCAGTCCTGCAGCCCAGGCATGTGTCCTGATTAGGAATTGATCCTTTTATTCACAGGCTGATACTCAATCCACTGAGCCACACCAGCCAGGTCAAATCAGAAGTGTTTTAAACTACTTATATTGTGGAGCAGATTCAAGTTTCAGCTAAGAGAATGAATTAAAACATTTAAGATGTATCACAATTCTCATAATGAGAATTAAAGTAGTGTTTATTCTTTTTTTATTATTAATAGATGAGGGAATAGTGCTCAGAGTAGTTAAATAATTTGCTTGAAGTCACACAGCTGTCAGGTGGTGAAATCCTGCTTGTTAAAGCCAAGCTGCCTTTCTGTTGAACTAAACCACCTTGTTCTTAAGGGGTTAAATCTTTGGGTACTGCCTCACATAGCATCTCTTTTTAATCCAACAGATTTTGTTCCCAGACAGAAGGTCTCACTAGCTTATTCCTTTTAGCCACCTAATTTATGTAGTAGAGCTAAAGTAGTAAAGAAAATTGTATTAAGTCCTAGGATCCTTTGACACTGTTACTGTATAACAAATATCTTGCCAATTAACATGGTGTCACCTCTTTTCTTCTTCATTTGGTTTTCTGTTTTCATGTTGCTATGGTGAAGGTGGCCCATCAGGATGCCAGTTCCTGGTGTCCCATATAGAGATGTGAAGGAGCTCAAGTGGTCACTTCCTAAGGACCCAGCTGATTGACACTCATTTTGACCAACCAACAGTTTGTAAAACATTGTATTTTTTAAAAAAGAGTTTCAGTATGTGTACATTTTCTAGGTATTATAATTCTAATGTTACTAATATAATTCTAAATGTAGCCACCTCCGTATTATTTTGATTTTTTCTTTTGAATGTATATTTTAAAATAGTAAATTACAGTTGTAGTATTTTTAACTGCAACTCTTGTCTAATAACCTTTTTCCCAAACTCCTTATGTACCCTCTCTTCTTGTAAAAAGGTCAGCTTCAGATGAGATGTTAAAACGGTTTTTGAAGGCACATAACCCACCGTATGAATAAAGTGCCCATAAAGATTCAAGGGGGAAAAAAGGCAGTATTTAAAAAAAGAAACTAACCTAAAAATTAGTCTTCAGGAGAGAAAGATACCACTAATGTTCTTGACTACATAGAAATTCAGCTTTAACATGAAATCTGAGTGTAACAGTCCTGGGGTGGTCAAGGTCTGGGACACAGATATTTGAGATTCTTACTGAGGCTTCTTGCCCTAGAATATTATTGCTGTGCAGCTAGCACTGGTTACATATTGTAAGGCCAAATTCAGCTTGCAGGCACGTTTTATTTGGCCTGCATTATGTTTTATTATTGATTTGTTTCTTGATTGCCAACATTTAACAATGGAAGATTTTGCATGATTTAGCTTTCTGGATTCTCTTAGGGAAAAATTGGAAGGTCTTGGGGCACTAGGGTTACATTCCTCATAGCAATAACAGGATGGAGAGATGGAGTCTAGTAACAGGTGCAGGAAGCTCTTATTCATAGTTTATAGTTTGCACTTGCTGGTTACACTTCCTGATGCTACTAACCTGGCCTGTCTTCCTGTGAACTTGAGACCCTCACTAAATGCTCGCCATATAAACAGGATGAAAATGAGGTGAGTTAGTAGTGATAGTAGAAGGTGATAATTTTTACCAGTCTTCAAACATTATATTTTCAGAGACTTCCATTGAACAGTTTATTTTATAAAAGACATTATCTGTATAATGTTGAATTTTTTTAAATCATTCTGCCAGAAATATTTTTAGATACCTTGAAACATTTTCCATTTCTCTGCAGTAGGTACGGTATGTAGATAATGATTGCTTTTCATTTACTTCTCTGATCTATAAATAAGGTGGGGGAGGGGTACATCTACTTATTGACAGTATTTGAATTTAATGAATGAGTATGGAACAAATATTTGGGGAAAACACCAGTTTTCAGGCTCATGGAATATCTTCTGAAAATGACTATCTTGTTATCACTATTTTATTACTCCTAAAAATAGTCTGATAAGTATTTGTGGAACTTTAAAATATTCTTAGTGATTAAAAATGAAGGAGGACCACTATGCTGATTAAGGTAAGGTCAAGGATTTTAGTATTTAATTAGATAGAGCTTTTTTATATTTATATTTAAATCTCTAAATATACCATTTATTTCAGAGAACTAAATTAGGTTTGGTCTGGAAAGCCTCGTATTCTACAATGTGGTTTGCAATTGAATTATTTCTTCTTTGGTCTTCTGAGATGGGGAAAGACAACATTTTTTCTTAATTATCGATTTTCTATTTTACTAATTACTTAAGATAAAGATGGTTTTGAGTAATCCATATTTTCTTTGTAACTTCCCAAGTAAATTTGCTGGAAGCTGACAAAGTCATTCGTAAAGTATAATATACGTATACTATATTTATTCACTTATTCTTTCATACTTTTCTTTCTATATATGGACAACTTTAAAAGGTGTCTTAGGCTGGAAACTACTTTTGAAATAGCTGCTACAATTTTTGCTTACTGTGGTTTTACTTTCCAGTGTTGAGAACTATCTGGGAGTGTCACACAAGGACATACAGGGTACCATTCTAGCTCTTCTGG